CACACACACCCGCACACATACAAATACAGAAACACTCAGATGCATATGCACGCACACATACACACACATACATACAGATGCACGCACACCACACACACATACACACACACATCCAAACACATGCACACTCAAACACATGCACACACTCAAACTAATGCACACACACACATTTGCGCACATACACATGAACACTTGTGCACACAAATGCATGAGCACACATATGCACATACCTGCAGGTGTACGTGCATGTAAATATACGCACACACAAATTTAAATACACGCATCTGCATTCGTACATTAGTACAATATATTTCACATTATAATAATGTATGTAATATTAATTCCTTCACTTGTTAACACTGCTGAATTACTGTATGAATAACATTTGCTGTGATTACTCTTCAATCATTAAAAATGAAGATCATTTTGATTGAAATGTAAAGTTTTGCAGTCCATTTAGACAACATGCAGAAACATAGACTGAGGTACAAAGCACCTTCTTTTAAATGTTAATCTGCTCATTAATCTTCTCAACATGCCAGCTAAACAATTCATTATTCAGGCTTATTATTCAAGAGTCCAGTCAGAGTGCAAAGAGATTAACCATCATATTCTCAGTTGACAACCAGAATTGTTATAGAACAGTCTTTTCTTGCGATGATCAGAATATCTGCATCCCGCAGTTAAAGATTTGTGATGATAAGCATTTATTCTTCCTTGCTTTGATGAATGAAAGCTTTAACAGAAAGAAAATAAAGACCAGCTTAAAGTTTAGGTCAATGTCATCTCTTGTGTGATGTTACGCCTAGTATCAATTTACAAATTGATTGCAAACACTCAGGAGAACAAGGAAGAGGAACTTCAGTTAGGAAGGTAGATCGGAGAAGTTAGGGTTGTTTTCCTGGGAGAATAGAAGGCCAGGCAGGGATCCGATTGAAGTATTCAAGACCGTGAGGGATCTGGGCAGACTAAATGGGAAGAAAATGTTCCCACTCACAAAAGGATCAAGAATGAGAGGACTCAAGTGTAATGTTATTATTGATAAAAGAAGCAACAGTGATAGGAGGAAACACTGAAGCAGGAATGACAACTTCACAGCTGTAGCACTGCACCTTGCCACTCCTTTCAAGCAATTCTTGTTTTTCTGCACTCTATGACATCACTGTCCTATAGTAACACTCGATGGTGATGGTAGCTGTTTAATATAGGCTGTAATGTTGCCTTTTTAAGGTAACATTGAACTGATATTCTGGTTTTGCAAGTCTATGTATGTTTCTGGTTCTTGATCTTTTGCCGTTGTTTAAACCTCGGCATGATCAATTGGAAATACAGCATGTGAAGTCAATGTTGAACAGATGGATGGTTTTCCATCAATCTTGCTTGGTTCAGAATTGTTACAGTGCAGAAGGAGACCATTTGGTCCATTGTGTCTGGTCTGGCTCTCTCAATGAACATTTTATTCAGTGCCAAATGGCCTCTTTTTGCAAAGCAACAACTCCATGATCCTTTTCATGCAGTGCATGGTTAGGGTCTAGAATGTACTGCCTAAAGGTCTGGGGGAGGCAGATTCAATGAGGCAGTCAGGAGGGCATTGGATGGATATTTGCGTAGTAACAATCTGCAGGGTTACAGAGAGAAGGTGTGAGAGGGGGACTGAATAAAATGTTCACTGAAATGATAGTGAATGCTGCAACCCTCAACTTCATTTCACCCCTTAGGCATCTGAAGCCCCATAGCCTGAAGAACTTTGGACTAAGTGCTCAATAATGAGATTAGGCTGGGCAGGGGAGGCTTGGTCATGCAGACACAATGGGCAGAATGGCCTCTTTCAGTGCCATAAATGTTTTTATATTTTCTAAATATCTGAAGAGGAGGAATGAGCAGGGATGTAAAGACAGGGTGTAGAGGAGGGGCTATATAAGACTTGCTCCTTAAGAGGGCAAGCACAGGCATGATGAGGGAATGGCCTACCTCACTGCTGGAATGAGTCCCTGATTCTACCAGATAGTAATTACATAACAGATGATTGAAATGTGAGGGAAATTACCATGGATTACCAATAAAATAGTTAGACATTAGGACACCACAGATGCAGTGGCAGTGTCCCTAACTCTGAGCCAGGAGGCCTGGGTTCTAGTCCCAACTGCTCTGGAGGTGCGCAACAATATTTCTGAACAGGCAGATTAGAATTTTTTAAAAATCTGGGTCTTCCCAGCAATGAATTGGCATCTGGACAGGGGATAGGCTCCAAAAGGGAAAGGTGAAAACTGATGTTTGTGCTAAACTTGATTTAGTTAAAGCTAGCTGTTTGGTTTCCTGTGGTGCAGTGGTAGTGACCCTTCCTCTTAGTCAGGAGACCAGTGTTCAAGTCCCACCTACTGCAGAAATGTTTCACTCTATCTCTCAATTGGGATTGGTTAGCTCAGATGGTTGGTTTGCAAGCAGAGTGACTCCAACAGTATGGGTTCAGTTCCTACCCTGGCTGAGGTTACCATGCAGGGCTATCCCCTACCTGAGGCATGGCTACCCTCTGCTTAAAGTGCCAACAGTCATTCCTCTTTCTAATGAGAGAACAGCATCAGGGTATGGTAGGATGATGGTAACTTTAGCTTTGATAATATCTCTGAGCTGGATGATTCAAAACTATTTTTAACAAGAACAGACGCAGAGCAACACTACAGCACATTTGGTTTTGCCAGTTGCTATACAGCTAATGCTTATTTCTATGTAACACTGTAAGGGTCTGTGAGCTATTCCTGTTACTGTGCCTACCATCCCTTGTTCTGTATTGTTAAATAATGTGTTAAAGTTCCAATATTGACACCAGCCAGCATGTTGGGGATTGCTGCCTGTGTAGCGGTCAGCTGGAAGGAGGGCTGCTCTTAGCCAACTATTCTTATCTTTGGGACTTGCAAAAATGAAACATAAACCTTGCATTTCCGTAATATTTTTGAGGACATCCCCAAAGATATTTTCAGCCAATTCAAAGCGTTTGAGGATCAAAACATTAACTCTGTTTTCTCGCTACAGATGCTTCCAGACCTGTTAAGTTTTCCCCAGTGCTTTCTGCATTTTTAAATTTTATTTCAAATTTCCAACATCCACAGCATTTTGTTTTTAAATGACACCCTGTAGGGGCAATTTAGGGAGACACAGACCGGGGGAAGTGCTATTCCCAAGTAATTCTGTTAAAGGGACAGAAATTGCTGAAGAAACTCAACAGCTCTGTGGAGAGAGAAATAGAGTTAATGTTTTGGATCCAGTGACCCTTCTTCAGAATCCCCTTCCTGAGTTTCTGCAGTAATTACTGTTTTTGTTACAGCATCCACAGTTCTTTGTTTGTTATCTCTGTCTGAAAAGAGGTGGGGTATGTTAAGAGACCGAACTCGCTCTCACGGTTGGGGTGAGGGGGGTGTGTGTGTGTGGGTGAACAGTGGTCACAGAGCATAGCAACCTCCAAATCATGAATTCCCAATTTTAAGAAAGAGCAGGTGAGTGAACCGAATGTTGGAATGATTCAGACTTGAGAGTATGACCTCTCCCCCTATCCCAATGCACACAGCTCATAATCTGAAGGGACTTCCATAGACACTGATGATAGCCCAGTAACAGAGCGAGCCTGCTGATGGGACATGTGTAGAGTCATAGTCACAGAGTCATAGAGCTATACAGCACGGAAACAGACCCTTCTGTCTAACCAGTCCATGCCAAATATAATCCCAAACTAAACTAATCCCACCTGCCTGTTCCTGGCCCATATCCCTCTGAACCTTTCCTATTCACGTACTTATTCAAATGTCTTTTAAACGTTGTAACTGTGCCCACATCCACCACCTCCTCAGGAAGTTCATTCCACACACACGATCCACTCAATGTGGATTTTTGGGGTGGCATGGTGGCTCAGTGGTTAGCACTGCTACCTTACAGCACCAGGGACCCAGGTTCAATTCCACCCACAGGCAACTGTCTGTGGAGTTTGCACATTCTCCCTATGCCTGTGTGGGTTTCCTCCCACAGCCCAAAGATGTGCAGGCTAGGTGGGTTGGCCATGCTAAATTGCCCCATAGTGTTCAGGGATGTGTAGATTAGGTGGTTATAAGGGGATGGGTTTGGGTGGGTGCTCTGAGGGTCAGTGTGGACTTGTTGGGGCGAAGGGCCTGTTTCCACACTGTAGGGATTCTTTAAAAAAACATGTAAAAAAATTGCCCCTCAAATCTCTCTCTCTTCTCACCTTAAAAATGTGTCTCCTAGTCTTGAAATCCCCTATTCTATGGAAAAGATGCCATTAACCCTATCTATACCCCTCATTATTTTATACATTTCTATCAAGTAGCCTCTCAACCTCCTACACTCCAGGCGTTTCCTTATAACTCAAACCTTCCACACCTGGCAACAATCTCTTCTGAACCCTCTCCAGCTTAATCATATCCTTCCTATAACAATAACTATAACTTGAACAATCCAATAACAATTTTTAGAAACCTTGGGGTGTTGGGGTTAGTATGGTTAAAGAGGAGCTGAAATGCCATCTTCTGCACGGCCCTCCCTGCGGGTGCTGGAAGCCCTGACACTCAAAGCCCTCTTGGGTATGAGAAATGGGCAGATCCGGACGCTGGAGATAATGTTACCTAACACTTGCTACATCGTCCGTCTCCAGTTTACTCACTTCAACATCAGGGGCTCCCATTAGTCACTTCCAGGGCTCCCGGCTTGGAATCTGGGGAACAAACATCACCAGGTTAAAAGGAAACTCACAAAAAAAAACAGAGAAAATCGCTGGGATTCTTCTCCATCGGGATAGCACCGCCGCTAGAAGGCTGAACGGCCACCGCTTGCACTGTAACCCATTCATGAACGCGTGTTTAACCTTTATCTTCCGTCTAACTTTGACCGTGCCAAGTAATACGTTAAAATTTAACTACCTATTTAGATTTTTCTTACATTTCTATTGTAGCAGTGTCAGTGAAATCTGCTTTTTGCTTTCTTCTTCAGAGCAATTGTGTTTCTGAAAGTTTTTGTTTTCTTAAATCGGCACAGTTTGTGTTTCAGTGAGACGGCAGTTAGACTGGCAGCTCTCCGTCTCTCTCTGTCTCTATCGCGTTCCTCTGCCAGCCAAGGGCTGTGTATCAGTGCCACTGACAGGCAACCTGGCATTCTCCCTGCCTGCCAGAAACTCCCACCCGTCACTGGGTCTGTGCAGTGTCTGATTCAGCTCACTGATTCCCCGGTTGGGGGCAAAGAAAGAATTCAGAAAGTAGAATTGAAACGGAATGCGAGGGGGAAATGTCAGCTTTCGGTTCAATAAGCAGATGCAAACACAACAATTAACTTACACGCAAAACCTAGTCCCATATAACGGCTATTTATATTTGTGTGTGTTTGCATAACTATGGACATTTACAGACGACTTTGTACGCATATACACTGCTGTTGTAAATAAGTTAAAATATTCTATCTAACCCTGCACACTGGTATACCACATACACATCTGAACATTCTCCAATAGCTTCGGTTAATGTTTTCAGCTCCTCAGCCGCTCTCTGGGTTTACAATATCCCCACTTCGTCAAACTCGAGCTTTGTCCATCTCAATTTAATTCGTAACATGAGTAAACAGAAATGCTTGCTCAGGCACATCGCAAACACCTATATACAAGTATAAGAATCTACAATCACTCTGTATATTTGCAATGTACTCACATAGACAATGCACGCTACATAACGCTCAATGCTGCACATACCGATGGGTGTTAAGTCTAACTGGATATCTCAGGGCACTTTAGTTGAAGTTAAAAGGAAGAATTTCGGTTCTGATTGTTGCATTGTACCTGAATCCAAATGTGGGAGTGACTCTGTGTCCCGTTTCTGTCGTTCCAGTCGAGCAGCTCCCTCTCTCCCTGTCCCTGTCCCTCTGCTAGAGGCTCCGCTCCAGGAGCCGCTCCAGCGTCACACTCACTCGCTGCTAGGAGCGGAGACACAGTGCGCAGACTCCACCCTCACACACTGACCCTCACACTCACCCTCACACACACACTCACCCTCACACACTGACCCTCACACTCACCCTCACACACGCACCCTTACACACT